GCACAGAGGCACTAATCATGGCAGCACAGGAACAAGCTCTGAGCATAGGATCCATAGAGGCTGGGGTCTATCACACCTGGCAAGACCCCAGGTGCAGGCTGTGTAAAGATGCCCAGAGACAATCCAGCACATAACAGCAGGGTGCAAGATGCTAGCAGGCAGGGCATACATGGAACGCCATAACCAATTGGCCAGCATAGTGTACAGGATACAGTGGTAATCGGAGCACTAAGTGTGGTGACTCCCAAACTATGTGAGTGGCTTGAGCAGATCCCAACAACAAAATAGGAGATCTCTGTCCAGAAGAGCGCAGTCCTAGGAACAGGTAAGATACTGCGCAGGACCCACAAGCTCCAGGCCTCTGGTAGAGGACCCGAGAAGGGAATTATTATATATTTATAGAAATATAGAAATGCCCATTCAACTGTAGCTGAATCCTAATTTTATATTTGATATGAAATGTAATAATTCAGCTTTAGCTTGGCAGGACAAAATTTAGGACACGGAAAGTGAAGATCAAAAATCAAGAAACAGATCAGACAGAGTTTACTGATCGACCTGTGAGATAGTAATCCATAGCAACAGACCCGGGGGTGATCCACCCTAAAAGCTGTTTCTACACCAGTCCATGACTATTTCAATTTCTAATAATTCCAATAATACTACTAATAAATTCCAATATTTCTGCCTTTATTGGCTAAAATGCGTAAAAAGAGAACAAACCTCTGGCACAACCAGGTCAGGGCAGCCATGACCTGCTGTGTTTGGACAATCTGGGAACCCATCGATTAGTCTGCTGACTTAGATTCTGGATACACGCACAAGTTTTCTGGGCTTCTGGTTTATCCAGCAGATATCTGGGCAGAAATCAACTTCTGCAATTGCTCGTTGTCTATGAAAGCACATGTCTAGATTATATTTGATGATGCAATGCATTTTCAGCAGATGAACTCTTTTGCTCTCCTGACAGACTATTGCTTGCATGCTGTTCAAATGTGATTCGTCGGGAAAAATGAACAGAAATCTTATCCTGTGATTCTGGATTCAACATACTCAGATACAAAATCATTTTGTTTAGATAGGAGAGAAAAGATGGTGACAGAAAGATGAGGCACCGTGACTGATTCATCCTCTATAAACATCCACAGGAAACTGATGGAAACCTGTCCAACAAATCAGCGTCCTAATGAGCCGCTGCTAGAAGGACAAAATCCTGACCTGACATCAGTCCAAGTGTCTGGTTAAATGTACTGAAAGGTGTTAAACAACAAGTGCTGCTGGAAGAGTTTTCATGAAGAGAACATTAACACTGTGAATGAGGGATGGACTTTGACTCAGTTTGACACAATCTGTTTTTCTTTCACTTTGAATAAATGTTTTTGTGGGACTGAGGATACATTTGTTTACATTTGGAAGTTTGATGTCATCTGTTCCTCTTGTTTCTGTCTTAAAACAGGATGAAAAATCTGTTTAAACAAAAATAAATCGAATTGAATTTCTGACAGCAGTAAATAAAAAAGGTCCCTGAGCTCAGTATGTTTGTGACTCTGACATGGAGGTGAAACATGTGAAGCTGGGCTGTGGTTTACTGCTCTCTTCCTGTCACAGACACTGTTTGACATCTGTTCATCTGTTGGTTTTTGTTCAGGCTGCAGGGATCATTTCTCACTGTGGGGAGCAGAAACCCAACAGGAGCAGTAGTAGGTGGCTGAATGATCACGTTTAACTTTCTCTATCTTCAACTCACAGCTGTTCTTTATTCTCAGCTGAAAAATCATCTTTCTGAGGATGATCATATGTTTTATCTATGTCACCATTTGTTTTATGAATATCAAGTATCACTTGAAAGTTTCATTTTCTTTCTTCTGGTACCAGTATATCCAGTCATAATCACACTTATTATCCCTCACAGCTGAAGGAGACACTTTGTCCAACTCTCCTGGTCAATGTTAAATCTCCTGAATCAGCTGTTCTGCTGCCATGGTAACCAGTGCTGTAGAGACACAGACAGATAGATGAAGGTTAGTGTGACAGTGTTTGTTACAGGTTGACTTTGTTGGCTCCTGATTGGCTGGAAACACTCACCTGACACAGACAGCACAGAGCAGCAGCTGGAGGAAAAGCATTTTGTGCAGTGGTGTTTCCTCTGGTGAACCTGGGGAGAAGTGGCGCTCTGATGCAGCTGAGGCCAAACAAGGACGAGCTGTGAGATCAGACGAGGGCCGTGGTTTCTAACAGGTCCTCAAGCTCCCATCAGCCCCTGCGGCCCACAGATAAGACTGCTGCTGCTGATTGACAGCTCAGCTGAAGCTGCTGTGGTTTCATCGTCTTCATTTCAATCTGACAGAGATCCAAAAATCTGGGTCACATGATGCACAAACACTCAGAAACATTCATGTTGCTGTGAATTTACTAACACACACTGTTATCTGTGGTTTAACAGCTGTGATGAAACTCTAAATATAACTAAACTATTAATAAAAATACAAATATAAAAATAATATTCTGTAAAAATCATTTAAAAGTTCATAATTATAAACAAAGGACTTTAAAAGAATAAAATCTCATGAAACATAATTTATACTCAAATTCTTTTTTAAAAACAAACATGTGGTTCTGTTGTGTGTTTAAATATGTGCACACTGTGGTTCTGTTGTGTGTTTAAATATGTGCAACTGTGGTTCTGTTGTGTGTTTAAATATGTGCACACTGTGGTTCTTTCCACATCTTCTAATGTGTTTTGTTCCAAGTTGGTTTCAGACTGAAGGATTCATTAAAGCCTTTTTAAGAATCATTAAAATGATGATCATCAATTCTAATATCTATAAACAGTAATAAAAACAGGCTGTGTTTCACGTCAGCTTCATTTATTTGTAGCCATGGTTAGATTTCATCTGCAGCAGGCAGTCATCCACCTTTACACACACATTTACACAACAGTACAAAAGTACTTTTTGATTCCTGAAGAGAAATAAGACAAATGTTGCCTTTGTATCATCTCTGATATGGAAGGGATCATTTGAAGATGTGAGTGAAGGACACAAATATTTGGATCTGGTGTTGTTCTACATTTTAGGACTAAAAGACAGAAGGAAGAAAGTGAAAGTGACTGTGCGAGGCGTTGAAGTCATGAAGTCAAGTGGAGGCCGCTGACTGCTGTTACTTTCTGCTGTACAGGTTCAACAGGGACTCACAGTCAGCCTGCTAGAACATTTGGATGAAGAGAAAAGGAGGAAAAAGACTTTGAGGGACAAATCCAATAAGATCAGCATGTTTTGAATGTGGGAATACAACAGTTTCCTCCACCATGACACACACTGGAGCCTCTTTTTGCTCACAGCTTCACTGTTTGTCTCAAAGTTCAGTTTGGAGGCCAAAATTGTTGCAACACATTTGTAAGTTTGCACTAATTTCACTGTGTGACCCTTAATGGATGTAATGAAAGAATCAGTCAGTGAAATATGAAGCTGTGCTGTAAGTTTGGAGGAGAAAAGTGTCTGAGTGACTTTAATGAGGTGAACACATGAATACAGAGCACTGACTGACACGTACACACTCCTTTAATGAGTCGCACACATTTTTGTGACTTCATGAAATGTCAAAAATGACACAACACACAACAAGCTGCGAGCACATTATTGTGTGTTTGCTGTTTGTGTGCTTTGTTTGCTGTTATGATAGCAGGCATACAGCCATGTTCTCAATGTCTCAGCTATCATTGATTATTGCTGCTCTTCCTCTTCTATTAGGCACTTCAACTCAATGAATGACACACAGAAAGATTTCATGACTGTGTTCTTCACAATAAGGAGAATATGTTATCTGCATCTGAATGACTCATGTTGCCTTGTTTCTACTTTGTTTGCATATTTCTGCTTGTTGGAAAGGATTTTCTGAATCATTCAGTAGTTTTTGTAATAATAACGACATTTAGCAAGACTTCAAAATGATTCTCCAACATTTGCTGTTCAGACTTGATCTGTTCTTACGTGTGTGATATCCAGAATGAAAAACTCAGCTCAGGTAATAAAATGGGAGCTGAGCAGACTGCAGGGCTTCATGGTCTCTCCTTTGATTCCATTAAAGTTCATTTGTCAGCTGTGAGTTGAGGATTTGAGCTGTTTCTCTCACAGGTGAAGAACACAGATCCTTCCTGGAATCATTCTTGAAGCAGAGTTCCTGCTTGTAACTGTCATTGTGTTATTAAAGTGAAAGCCACAGCTAACGGTGTGGAGGCTGCAGAGCAGAAACCCACACAGCCCGTCTGCTGCAGGAGAGCAAGTTTGGATACAGTCAGTTTGTGCTTCACTCACACGGGTTGTTGTTGATCACACAATGAAAGTAGAATCAAACTCTTCATCTTCAAATCTTTATTGTTCACACAAACACAACTACACTGTTTGACATTTGAAAATCAAAGTGAAAACTTGTGATAAAAATATTCCTG